ACCAAAAAAAAACTACTGATTGTAATGTAAAGAAGCTCACTGAGCCACATGCTCTTCTTGGGATCTAGGCACCTTACCTTACTTCCTCAGGGCCTCTCCTTGCCCTCCACCCAAGATAGAGGATGAATGTAGGTCTGCATGCTTTTCATATCAAAGCACTGAAAGCAGCATTTTTTTTTTCATGGCAAACAATGAGAGAAATTGAGTGTGTGATATTCTAGGCCTAGGACTTAAAGGGCAAGATTTTCTGATAAGATAAGGGTGGGTCCTAACTTCTGCTTCCCCATATCATGCTGGAGATAGTGTTTCAATAAAGGAAAAACTGAAAGCCAGGCTCAGTTCCAAGAGACTTTGAAAGAACAGATTCTCAGCTGTTCAGGTTTGCCCTTAGCCTTATGAATGCTAAGTCAGGTTGTTTATGGAAGGAAAACTGGAATGTGATTTAGAAACACTGCAATCACCAAGATTAGTCATCACAACTTTGTTAACCCTTAATCTTCCTTGTAAATCCTGGCCTCTGTTTTCACTGCAACATGTGAACAACTTACAATTTTCATTATGGGCTCTCTTCTCTTACCACCTACAGAAAACTAGCTCCTTTACAATCCTTCCTCAGACTATAGGTGGCTAGAAATAGTTTTTATTTATAAATACCAACAAACAAAGTTTGTTGTTCATTGTTGTGAATCAACAATGACAAGCTCAGAAAACGATCTCTATCGGTGCAGTAGTGGCACTTTTATCTTGGGGATAATCAACAGCTATCTAATTGGACTTCAAACCCACTCAGTGTGAGGGAACTCATGTGTGGTACTTTATAGCCAAATACACATGGCTGGAGAGGTCATAGACCCTAGAGAAAAACCCTGTCTATTCCTAGACAAAAGTAATTTCTTATTGTATACTAAATATGTATCTTTATACTTAGAGACAAGTATACCTATCACTACTAATCAAAGAAACTTCTTATTGCAATACCTCATCAATAGGGCCCCCACCTCATCTTTCCCCAGGGTAGGAAAACCCCTTATAATAATTGAATAATTCCACATCAGAGATGGTGGGCATCAAGTTAGAACTGGCATACTTCCCCATAGTGTTCCAAGAGCCTGTAGGAGCACCCTTTCAGAGCACCTTTCCCCTGACCTCACAAGGCCCCACCGCGCCCAGCGGCCCGGCTGCCCCTGCCGCCCATATCCTGATGGAGCCAGCAGCACCCTGAGGCAGAGGTCCAGGGGCTTTCTCTCACCTCGCAGGGCAGCTATCCCCAGGAGAGGAAGAATGGCCCTCTGGCCAGCCATAGGAGCCCGCTTCCTGAATAGCACCGGGTCCACTCTGCCACCCCAAGACATCTGAAAAACATGTGACCACCCAAAAGGCCTGCCACAACCTCCCTCCCTGAAAGAACCTCTGTACCTGTACCTCACTGTTAGGCATATCTGGGGACTTGATGTTGGGGGAATGGGGAAATGGAGGTAAGGTGGGCTCTTAGGGATCCTGGCCTGAACTGGCAGCTCGGGAAGACTTCCGGACGGACTTGCACAGTTTGGTACCCAGTTGTTGTTGTTGGTTTTTTTTTTTTTTTGAGATAAGGTCTCCCTATAGCCCCAGCTGGCCTGGAACTCACTATGTGGACCAGGCTGGCCTCGAACTCACAGAGATCCGCCTGCCTCTGCCTCCCGAGTGCTGGGATTAAAGGCGTGCACCACGACACCTGGCTGGTACCCAGTTTTAAAGCAAGTGCTTCTTGTTCTCTTGCAGCCCCAGCCAGTCTATAGGCACTGGCCTGAGTACAAGAAGAGGAAAATTAGGAGCAGGATTGGACAGGTGCAGTGCAGGTGATAGAAGGACAGAGCCTAAGCCCCTCTGTGAGGGAGAGTGGGGGACACTGGGAAAAGGAACACCTAGGCCGTTTAGAATACAGAGAACCCACCGGCTGATGAAGGTAGGTCGGGGGTCCAGAACACTTATTCTGGAAATAAATGTTTGGTGACCTGAGGGCATGGACAACCTCAGCAATGGACAGGTGTGACCTTTCCCCACCAGCCAGGTCTGTGTGGTCTCCCCTCACTTCTAGATATGGTAGTGTGAGAATGTTGCACACCAGTAGACTAACGTCCTTCATGTACCTCCACCCAGCTCCCTCGAGTTCCCCGATTGTTCTTTATAACAGTACCTACAAGCTGGGCTGGAGAGATGGCTCAGCAGTTAAGAGCACTGGTTGTCCTTGCAGAAGACCTGGGTTCGAATCCTAGCACCCACATGGCAGCTAACAACTGTCCATAACTCCAGTTGCGGATCCAGGGGATCCAGCAGCCTCTTCTGTCCTCCATCGGCTTTGCACGACATGGGTGCACTTAACCTACATGCAAGCAATACACTCATACACATAAACTAAAAATAATAAAATATTTTTAAAAACAGCACCTATAAGCTGTGGTACATGCCTGGGAAGCGAACTGGTATATTTTGTTAGTTTTGTTTTTGTAGTGGTGTTGGGGATTGAACCCAGGGCCTCCAGCATGCTGTGCCAGGTCTCTATAACAGCTACTCACCCAGCTGTCTTCTAAAACATAGTTAACATGTTGCTTTAGGCCACTTCAGTAAAAGTAATTCAATACTCATTAACTTTCTTTATAATGATTTTAGAACTAGAAATAAACTGTTAAATTGAAAGTGACCTTTACACCTATTTCCAATCAAGAACATTCTTTGTACCCCTGAAAGATGGGTAGAGGGCCATAGGAGTGGTTAGTAGTCATCCCCTCCCTAGGGCCATCCACCCTCCCCTTAGCCATTCCTCACCTGGGGTTTCAACAGGACTCCTTTGTACCTGGCTGTTTCCAAACACCTGCATCCACCTGCCTAACTGAGCCCCCACCCCTGATTCAAGTTTCCAAACTGTCAGTACAAAGGCTTCTGCCCAGCTCTAAAACTGTCAAGTAGGCATGGGAAATGGTAAAAGTAACTGGCAGAGGGGACAATGGGGTCCTGTGGGGTCACTCACACTGGCTCAGAAACTGTGCCCACTATTGGCAGAGATCAGGCCAGGCTGAGCAGCTGCCTTGTCTCTTTTCTGTCAAGGGTTCAGGTTTATATAATCCACAGCTCCTCAAAGGTGGAACTTCATTGCCTTCTCAACCATCGATGAATGAAACAGGCTGGAGTCTGGGGAGAAAAGGGAGAGTGAAGGGCTCTAAAGATAAAACGGCAGTTAAGAGAAAAGTGCATCTCTTTTCCATCGGGAAGAAGGAGCACAGAAACCCAAGTCAAAGGTAGGGAAGCGATTTCTTGTGAGCTGAAATAACCTAGGAACCTCATGCTTTTTGGATGCAGAACTTACCTATCTTGCTCCCAAAGCAAGACTTTTCATGGGTCATGGTGAGAATCTGTTTAGACTCATATCCTACCTTTGCTGCTCCTAAGCAAATGACTGTGGGCAAGACATTGATCTGCCTTACCTGACCTTCCATATCTTTGGGGATTTTTGAGACAGGGCTTTGTGTATTCAACGCTTACCTCAAACTTCCTACGTAATTAATGATAACCTTAAACTTCTGGTACTCTTGTCCCTACCTCTCCAGTGCTGGGATTATGGGAGTGTACTACCAACACCCAGATTATTTGGCACTGGTGATAGAAACCAAGGCCTTGTACATGCTAGGGAAGCATACATGCAATTGAGCTACATCCATAGCCCATGAGTTTCCATAATTTGATTTGTACAGCACACTCACCTTTCATAGAATAATAGAATGCATTGTGACACGGAAAGCCTAGTAGCCAATAAATGGAAGCTGCTCGTACGAAGGGAATCGATAAAGGGAATGGACTCTGTCCAGGTCCCTCCCCATCCACACATTTACAAGCCACCTGATGCACGTTCTGAAAGTGTTCCACTTAAGGAAATACTATTCCTGTTCCATTTGTTGTCTTTGTAAACTGAAACAATCTTGGTACAGATAGCTTCAATAGTCATTAATGAACTTCAATTCATCTTTGAGGTGCTTTATTTCTCTTCCTGTTAAAGTGCAATGATCCTGGAGGTTGGGGGTGAGAAAAGCTGTAAAAGACTCAGGTCATGACTCCCCTTCTAGAAAATTATCTGTTGGGACAATCTCTTCTTTGGTTTCTCCGCCTCCCTTTATTTTTGAGAAAGCCCCAGATGGTCTGAACTTTGATATGTAGTTCAGGTTGGCCTCATCTCAGAGATCCGCCTACCTCTGCCTCCTGAGTGCCAGGATTAAAGGTGTGCACCACCACATCCAACCACGATCTCTTCTGGATTATGAGTACTTTAGAAATGGGAAAATGTTTTCTTTATTATTATTGCTGTGTGTGTGTGTGTGTGTGTGTGTGTGTTTGTGTGTGTTGCAGCATGCCTGTGGTGGTCAGAGAACAACTGGCAGGAACTGAGGCAGACTTCTTCCACTGTGGGTTCTGAGAATTGCACTCAGGCCATCAGGCCTGAATAATGGCACTTTTACCAGCTAGCCATCGTGCTGGCCAGAAAATGTTTTTCTTACGTTCCTGTGGGAGCAGCCTCATGACTTTGAAACAATTCAAGAGTGCTGGCAGTTTCTGCCACTGATTTAGCTTCATCTCTTGCTGATACAACGGTTTAGTTAGTGAAACACGAGGGGACACGAAAAGGAAACATAAAAAAAACAGGAGCTTTTTGCTTTGGTTTGATGGTGGTGGCCAGGAATGGAGGAAAGTAGAAGATAGAAGTGCCCTATGTGAAAACGGACCACCTTAGTGTGAAGTATTTATATATTATTATTTATTTCTTGGTGCTGAGGCTGCGACCCAGGAGGCCCTGGGCATGCTAGGCAAGCGCTCTATGGCGAGCTACCTCCAGTCCCGAATGCCTTTCATAACCTACTTTCCGGAATTGTTTTTTACTTGAGTTTCCCTTAAAATATTGCCTTCTGCATTTTCCTTTAAATAAGTCTTATAATGAATAATAACTGAGATAGTTTTATTGAATATGTCCTCTTAAGTCACCAGAAAATGTAGATGTCTCTGAAATTTGCTGTTTCAAAATTAAGCCCTTTGTGTGAGACACAAAGATCTGTACTACTCAATATTGACTTCCTCAACTGGTTCCTCATTGCCTTCCCCAGCTGGGGCTGCCTCAATCATCTCACCCAGGTCCTCAAGGTCTCCCACATTCAGCTCCTCCTCTGGGGCAAGGAAGGGCTCCTCACGGGGAAGGAAGTTGGGCTCCTCATTTAAGCCTGTGTCAGCTGAGCCTGCAGAAGTTTCCATAAGTTTAGATTTTGACTTTTTTGTGTCTGGTCTTCTCATGTCTGAAGTGTTCCCCCAGTAGGAGCTACTCTCTGCGCTTTTGGAGAAAGATGTGTCCGATACACCTTCGGACGGATGGAAGTAAGACAGAGTCGCCAGCTCCGGGTTGATGGTGTACTGACTTTCATAGTTTTTGTCACTGAAAAAGAACACACATCAAGAGTTGTTTTTGGTTAAACATTTATATTTGTATATTTGTAACCCAACTCAGAAAAGTAGTCACAAAAAAAGAACGTCCAATGTATTAATGACTTAATGGCTTCATACAAAGGATACCGTTTTTTAATTGTAATTGGATTGTATATTTAATCCTTGTGTAAATGAACCACCAATGAATGTCGGGTTATGAGCCTCTTTCAAGCCTCCACACTAGAGCTTAAAAACTAATTTATGCCAGGTGTGCTGGTGCATGTCTTTAGTCCCAGCACTTGGGAGGCAGAGGCAGGTAGATCTCTGTGAGTTCAAGGCCAGCCAGGTCTACATAGTGAGTTCCAGGCCAGCTGGGGCTACAGGGAGACCCTGTCTCAAAAAGACCAAAACAAACAAACAAACAAACAAACAAAACTAATTTACTAAAAGAATAAAGCTTGCTTTAATAAAGGAGTAACAAAAAATAATATGAAATTGAATTAGGGGAAATGAATGTCTAATATCACAGTTTTAGTGAACCAGAAAAATATACCATCAGAAACATCATGATCAAAAGAATTTATGATAATTGTGAGCATGAAAAGCGATTCTACGGAGTTTAAAAAAGTAATTTATAATACTGTGCAAAAATATTTAAAGAGACCTCAGGTTTGAATTGAATTTAATGTTTCTATAAGAAAATACAAACGGTAATTTAAGAAGAAGGGGTAGGCCTCAAGGCATGACTGTGACAGAGTTTCAGGTTTTTTTCAAAGTCTTGGGCAAGGCAAATGACAAAGGTTGGACCAAGGAGATGAGCTGCTGAGAAGGAATACTTACCTTTATGTTCCAAGGCTGCTTGTTTTTTTTTTTTTTTTTTTTTTTTAAGGATTATCTAGACTCTCTACAGCCTTCCTAATCAACTGAGATTATGTCTATATTTTATGCCTAAATAGCCAGCTGAGATGGCTATTTAAAATACTTGGGTAAGGGCTAGAGAGATGGCTCAGCGGTTAAGAGCACTGACTGCTCTTGCAGAGGACTTGGGTTCGATTCCCAGCACCCACATGGCGGCTACGAACCATCCTTAACTCCAGTTCCAGCGGAATCCGAAGCCCTATTCTGACCTCCACGGCACTGCACAACACAGGTCCACTCACATACATGCAGGCAATACATTCATATACATAAAATAAAAATAATAAATAAAATACCTGGGTAAATTACAATGGGGTGTTCCTTGAGAAGGGCCCCATGCTCCTAATACAAAGAGGACACAGAGTCAAGCTATCTTATAAATTACATAGGAGCCACATTCCTAACAACCTACTAAAGACTACTAAATCTACTAAAGGGAGTTTGGCATCATGAACTAGTTACACAGATTACAAAAGCCAGCTAGCTCACCTTAGGTGTCTCAGTTTGTACAGTGTGGCAAAACAGAATATCAAGAGAGGAACTGAAAGGATGAAGGTCATCAGGGAGATGCCCAACATTAATTTGAGCTTGATTTCCTCTAGCTTTGACAGTTTATCTTCGTTTGTAGTATTCAAATCAGAGCCTGGGAGGAAAGAAAGAAAGGAAAGAAAATGCAGTGGAAAACTGTGTTTCGTGTGTTTTCCCGGAGGAGTAAGGACTGTGGAACACATCTGCAGTGTTCATGGCTCACTATTCCAACCAGGGAATGCCAAACGGAAGGCTGCTTCCTTGGGCCACGGATCCAATTTTTCTCTCTCTAGTTGTTACAATAGTCTTGGACTAGCCGTCCTTCACTCCACACCATCACATGAGCTTGCAAACCTTCCTGCAGCACTAAACAAAATCTGGTTTGAAACCCAAGCTATCCAATGACATCTCTATGTAACAGCCTTTCTCCCTGACTTTACTAGAAATCAGTTTAAATAATTATCTCTGAAGAGGTTATTATTACAACAGTTTACAAGATACTAGTACTTTAGAAGAGAAAGGCACATGTTCGTTGTTGGGCATTTTAGTTCTTTTGAACTAAAAGCGTGTATACTGGTGGTTTTCTCTCTGAGGCTTGCCATTTCATTACGGAGATTGCACTTAGAAAGGAGAGAGAGAGCACTGCAGAGACCTGCTATGACCTTGAAACTCCAGAATTCTCTCCCTTGCAACTGTGAGCAAGACCAGCTTTTCCTTGACACCCAGGTCCAAGACTACCTTGAATTTTAACTTTACTCTCTTGTCTAGGGTCTTTCTCCATGCCAAAGGCCACATGGGCTAGGGCTCATAGTAAGGGGATTTAACCCCAACCCCTCGCCAAACCTGGAAGAATCAGAAATGTCCTTTGTTCTCAGGATCTGAAGGGAGCTGAGGGAACTGGAGGGTCTGGGTCTCCCTTTGGAGCCCCTCATAGCTACCTAGGGCCATGATGCTGCACTCCTGGTACTCCAGAACCGAAGGATCTGGTTGCCTTCAGGGTCCTGCCATGGCTGCTTCCCAGCCCATAATCTCTCTCCTAATTGTGCTCCCACTTCAGGGCTTTGCCATAGCTGCCTATAACTTCCCTCATGAAGCCATCCGAAGTGAAATTCATCTCTTCTTTCATTTTCTATGAGCCCCTCACTCTTTTTTTTTTGGACAGTGTTTCTGTAGTCCCAGTTGGCCTGGAAGTCCCTCTGTGTATCTTATCAGGTTGGCCTGGATCTCACAGAGGTCCACCTGCCTCTGCCTCCAGAGGGCTGGGATAAAAGGGGCATGCCACTCTTTCTAGCACATTGTATATTTATTACTTTATTTTTATGCATATGAGTGTTATGCCTGCATGTATGTAAGTGCACCCATGTTGTGCAGTGCCCACAGAGGACTGAAGAGTGTGTTGGATCCCTTGGAACAGAGGTTACAGACTGTTGTTAGCTGCCATGTGGGTGCTGGGATTCAGACCCAGGTCCTCTGCAGGAGCAGCCAGTGCTCTTAACTACAGAGCCATCTTTCCAGACCCAAAAGACTGGTTTTAAGATAAGAAACATTCATTTGCTAAAATGTGGTCAAATGTGCCTCCTTCAAAGAAACCACCATTGTGACTGCTCAGTAGATTGGGTAATTCTTCTTTAGAACTCTCTTTTGACTTAGGTGTATGAATTAAACTAACAAAAGTGACTGTCACAGCTTTTGCCTACAGTGCTATGCTTTGTTTAAACAAAATCACTTCTGGCAGTTTCTAAAACTCAGATTATTCCTGGGAACTTTCTTCCATGATGAATTGTCTGAATATAGACTACAGTAGGCTCCAAAGCACACAGCCCAAGTCTCCTCTTATAGGCTGCCTCTCAAAGTACAGCTGATCAATGTGCTTGCCAGACTGACATGAATTGATATAATTGAACGACAGCACTTTTTGGGAGGGGCTGTATATATTTTCAGCTGCTCTGTTTCCTTTTGATAAAATGATGAGAGAGTAATCCAATATTCCAGTGCCCTCTTGAGCTCTTGTTTTGTCAGTAAAGAAGGAGGAAAAGCTGATGCTCTTGGCACTCCACTGGTGGATTCATGAGGCAGAAAGGGCTCTGGGCAGCCTGCTGGCAGGATCTGCTGCTGTCATCTGCACTCAGCTCCCCAGCTCTCATGACCATCGGGGGAGTTGTGTTCCTTCAGATGATAGTCTAAGCTGAGACTTTCTCCAAGCCCCAAATCACTCTCTTTTACCTCAGACTTCTACATCTCTTTTAGATATTGCATAAGTGCAGGGAAATAAGGAGGTTCCTCTGTGAGATTTCAGATAGGGAGAATAATCAAATTATGTAGTCACATAAGGACACCAAGAATGAATGGAATTTAAACTAAAAAATCCAGGGGAGAAGAAAGTCTGGGGAATTGGTCCAGCAGGTAAAGATCTTGCCACACAAGCATAAGGAACAGAATTTAGATTCCTAGAACTCCCTGGAATGTTGAGGGGCAGTACCTGCCTGCCTCTAATCCCAGCAAGAGGGAGGCAGAGACAGGGAGTCTGCAGCAAGCCGGCTACCAGAATAGTTAAAATGCTGAGTTCTGGGTTCATCAGGAAACCCTGCCTCGATATGTAAAGAAGGGAGCCATCGAGGAAGACACCCAATGTCAACCTTGGGCCTTTACACACACGTATTCACATAAGAACATGCATTCGCACAAATATCTGCATATAGGCCAGAAATACACACATGTACACCATACATAAATACACAATAAAAAATACATCCCATGAAATCCAGGGATTTTAATTGTGAGTTTAACCTTTATGTTGTTTTGTTTGTTTATAGAAAGAAGAGTTTATTTTGGTTTATGGTTCCAGAGGGGGATTCTACAAAGCTGAGAAAGTGTGTGATCAGTATCTTGTGGCCAGAGCAGGAAGCTGACTATGTGTATGTTCTACCATAGGAAGCTGAGAGAACAAACTGGGAGTGAGGGAGGCTCTTAACCCATGAAGCCAGCCCTCAGGGACATACTTCCTCCAGCAAGGCTGCACCTGCTTAAATTCCCACACCTCCCAAACAGCACCTCAAACTGGAGAATCAAGTGTTCAAATACCTGAGCCTGTGGGGGCATTACGCATTCAAACCCCCACGAAACGAAAATCACCTGATTTAGTTTGTGGAATACATCCTTAATACATATTTCTTCACTGAAAACTTATAGATGACTATGACATGAAAACATCTTCAATATCACTAATCATTAGGAAAATGAAATCATAACAGTGAGATGCTACCTCCTTCAAGGAAGAATTACTACTGGTGAGAATGTGAAGATTAGGGAATTCTTACATCATAAGGAAAGATAGTCTCATGTACTCCATAAGGAAAACACAGAGAATTTTTCAACAAATTAAAATGTAAATATTATACTATTCAGTACTGCTTTAAGGAGGAAAAGCTTTCTAAAACTGAGTTTGTTTTATTCCTTTCTTTTAAGTTTCTTTTTGAATGTTCTTATTATTATAAGATCAAATTTGTTTCACCTTTCCTTTTATATATATATAAAGATCTATCTTCGGGGCTGGAGAGATGGCTCAGCAGTTAAGAGTACTGACTGCTCTTGCAGAGGACCCAGGTACAATTCCCAGCACTCACATGGAGGTGACAAACCGTCCTTAACTCCAGTTCCAGGGGATTCTGAATCCCTCTTCTGACCTCTGTGGCTTTGCAAGAC